CTGCTGGCAAGCAGGCTCCCAACTCCCTCTGCCACCAGCCAGCCTCAGTCCCCCTGTACCTGCAAGGGATCGCCGCTGCTCACCCAGCTCCAAACCAGCTCTGGCCTGGGCTACCCAGGGGGCCCCTCTGCCCTGCAGTGGGCTGGAACCACAGCTCCTCCAGAGGTCCTGAGTCCCGGCCTTGGGGACGTAGGTCCTCTCCCTTCTGCCTGCCTTGGGCGTTCCCCGACAGCCCGAGGGCCACTTCAGCATTCTCTTTATATCTTCACAGTTCGCCCTCCCAGAGTTCATCATTCTTTCCATTAACCTCTCTGTTCAAATGAGTCCAGACTTTATATCCCAATGGCTCCTTGGCTGGAAAACATCAAGCCCGAGATCCAAGAAGCCTGCGAACCCCAAGCAGGAACGTAAAAAGGGATGGACAATGGAGCTCAGCGTGGTTCAACTTCTGAAAACCAAAGCTAAAAAGGACATCTTGAAGCAGGCAAAGGACATACTATCCCCAAAGGTACAGAAATTAGACTCCTTGGCAGAAGCAACTGGGACAGAAATCAATGAAACGATACCTCCAAGGCTGAAAGAAAATAACCGCCAAGCAAACTTCTCCATTCACTCAAAATGTCTTTCAGGAATGAAGGTAAAAATCAAGATATTGCCAGAGAAACAAAAATAGTTCATCACAAGCAGACCTACACTAAGGGAAGACAAAACTGTTTGCAGGCAGAAGGACATGAATCCCAGGTGGGAGGTCAGACACGCAGGAGAGAACCAGAGAGCAACAAAAACAGTTACTGTGTAGATAAACTTAAACGCTGTGTAATGACGTCTTATGGGGCTCAAAACACAGAGAATTAAAACACCTAACAATGGTGTGTGGCTCAGGGAGGAGATAAGTGGAGGGTATTCTTGATCTAGTTCTTGGATTGTCTAGGAAGAAGACAAAAGTACTAACAGCATTCGACTTCGAGAAGTCCGGAATACAAGTTGTCATCTCTAGGGAACCACTAATAGTACAAGACCGTCTAATTGCCAAGCTAATAGGAAGAAATGGAATAATAAAAAATAATCGATCTAAAAAAACAAGTCAAGAAAGGAGAGAGGGAGGGAGAGAGAGAGAGAGAGAGAGAGAGACAGAGAGAGATGCTGAGCACTGGTGGAATCCGTAGAAAGCAAATAGAGGATTCAAACCCTAATGTAGATAGTTGTTCAACATTAAATAAACGGAGCAAATTCTCCAGTTGAAAAAACAGGCTATCAGACTTTTTTTAAATGTATATGCCGTTAACAAGGTGTAGCTATCTAAAATATGAAGGTGCAGAACGATTCAAAGTAAAAATATGGAAAAAGATATACCCTGCAAACACAGCCACCAAAAACATAACTACATTAATATCAGAAAAAGCTGACTTGAAGGGGAAAAGCATTCCTAGAGTTACTACACACACACACTGGAAAACAGGCAAAGTACATTCCACCAAAATACTGAACAATTTCTAAATTTGTATGCATCTCATTACATAGCCCCAAAATATGGAAAGCAAAGGCAACAGAACCACAAGGAGAAATGGACAAATCTGTGAACCTAGCGGGAGGTTTTAGCATACCTCTCTCAGGAACGTGATAGAATTCTAATCTTACACACTTCCAAAAAAAAAAAAAAAGAGAGAGAAGCGTTTCCCAACTCTGGTGGTGAAGCCAACATAACTGATACCAAAACCATAACAAAAATGAAAATTACAGGCCAATTTCACTCATGAGCGCAGATGCACAAATCCTAACCAAAAGATTAAACTGAAGCTAGTATTGTAATATGTAAAGAGGATAATAATACATCATGATCATAATGGGTTTATTCTGGGAATGAAAAGTTACTTTAACATTCAAAAATCAGTGTTGTCACCACATTAACAGAATAATTTTCTCAGTAGATACATAAAAGTAATTTAATAAAATTCAATATCCATGCATGACTTTTTTTTATAAACTCTTAGCAGACTAGGAATAGAAGGGTAATTCTTTAATTTGAAAAGCGATAGCTGTTTTTTAAGAGGCAGAATGTTGAAAGCCTTCCTTTTGAGATAGAAAAAGATAAGGCTGCCCACTGCCAGCACTTCTCTCCGGCTTTGGACAGGGGGCGTGGGGGGTGGCCAGTGCAAGAAGTCAGGAAAAACACACAAAGCGGGTAAGGACTGGAAAGGAAGACAAGAACCATTATACAGAGATAATATTGTGTAAATAAAAAGTCGACAGACTCTACAGATGAGTTATCAGGTAATAAGTGAGTTTAGAAATATGGCTGCATACAGCCAGTAATCAATTATATTACTAGCAAGTAACAAATAAAAATGGTCATATTTATAATAGCATCAAAAAATCAAATACCCAGGGATACTAACAAAATACAGAGGGTGCCAAAAAAAATGTATACACATTTTAAGAAAGGAAAAAACTGTACTAAAAGTACGCTGATGGGAACCACTTTGAGCACCACTAATAACTGCTGAAGTCAAACGTGACTCGTATTCATCTTTTGTTATCGGTATATATTGAGTATTAAAATTTTAACACAGTTTTTTCCTTTCTTAAAATGTGTGTACATTTTTTTGGCACCCTCTGTATCTACAACATTTCTGCACAAAAACTAGAAAATCAAGGGAAATTTATAAAGGACCTAAACCAATAAGGAAATTCACCATGTTTGTTGGAAAATAGCACACTGTAAAAATGTCAACGGTGCCCAAATTCATAGAGTCAAAGCAATCACAGTCAAAATCCCAGCCCATATTTCTGTGAAAATCGACAAGATTCTAAAATTTATTGTCAATACAAATGATTTTAAATGGCCACGGCTCTAAAAGCTGGCGGGAGGACTTGACCTACCCAATGTCAAGGCTGATTCCTGTTCAGCGAGGAAGTGTGACAGCGGCATAAGGACAGACAGACAGATCCCCGGAATATTCCAGCTGGCTGGCAGGTCTAAACGTGACAATAAACCAGTAAAGCTTCTAGATCTAGAATACAACATAAGAGAATATCTCCATGGCCTAGGAGTAGGGAAATTTCTTCTTAAGCCACAAAAAGCATTATCCATAAAGGAAAAGATGGATTTGAATATGTTAAAACTGAGAACTTTTCAGCAGACACCACTAAGCGTGAGAAGGGAAGTTACAAAGCAGGGAAGGATATGTACAGTACTTGTATCTAACATAGGCTCGTCTAGAATATATAAAGGGCTCCTCTAAATTGACCAGAAGAAGACAATCCAGCACAAAAATGGGCACAAGACTTGAACGGGCACATCAGAAAAAGAGATATTCAAGTGGATAAAAGGCTCAAACATCATCAGTCCTCAGAGAAACGCAAATTAAAGCTACACAGAAATACCACCCAGTTTTAACCACCAGAAGCGCTCAAACCCACAGACACCAGGGGTCGGTGAGTACAACTGGACTGCCGTCCATTGCCACAGCGTCCCAGGAGGTCATAAAGGTGACATAGTCACAGCTTCCTCACCTATTCCAACATCTCTGAAGTCAGGGGCCCCTAAGCAGAGTGTTCTCAGCCGCACTCCACCTTTCAGAGTTGCCCCAGCTCCCCTGCTCGGCGGCACCTTGGCACACTGGGTCACCACAGGAGCTGATGTGTATGTTGTCTCCCACACGGGCCTGGAAGCCTCGGGAACACAGACCGTCTTCTTCACTCCTGCGAATCCTGAAACTGGAGTTGCTGAGTCAAAAGTCATGCACACTTTTTCCAGATATTTTTTTAATTACACAACACATGAATAATACATCCGTATTTTTAAATTCAGCAACGTATTGCACAACCCCTCCTAGTCCCATTCCCTCCCCCCACCCCGGCAGCCACTATCAGCAGTTGGGAATCCATCCTTCTAGACTCTTCTTTGCACGTACCTGCATATAAATACACGGCACATAGGCTACGAATAGATACCATCCATGTCCCTCCCACAAAGATGGCGGCTACACACCCACCAGTAATAGTTGCGAGGGTCTGCATCCAGTCCTGCAACTGTGGGTGTAGTAAACCTTTCTAACTTTTTCCCAACCTGATAGTAACAGTCACCTCCTGGTTTAAATCTGTCCTTGTCTGAGACAGACCTCAAATCTATCAGTCTTTCCCTCTGGTTTTCCAGATTTTAAGAGGCCTCCCAATTCCCTACCGCCCCAACACCCCGAAGTTTCACAGATACTCTCCTAAGCTTTCTTCTACGGGTAGAGCTTTAGTCTAAGCCCTTTAATCCACCTGGAATTTACTTCTGCATACAATACGAGAATAATTTTTTCCAACCAATTAGCCAACTCTGCTTATTATGAGCCTTCCGGGACTCACTCAATTAAAATGCCACCGTGAGCAGATACTGACTTCCCGAACGTACTTGAAATGTTTCCTGGACTTTCTATTATTTTCCCACCCATCTATCTCTGGAAAAGCCATGTCGTGTTCCTTATTGTAGCTCCATGCTAAGTTTTAATATCTGGTGAAGAAAGTCCACCCTCATTCAACTTTTCAAAAACATTATGAGCAATTTTTACACATCTTCCTTCCATATTGATTTTAAAAGCATTTTTGTCATAGTTTTAAAAACTTAGTTTTCCTGTTGTAATTCCATTAAATCTCTTTAAGAAGGCTATTTTTATGATATTACATCTTCCTATCCAGATATTTTGTTCAGCTTTTTTTGTTTTGTTTTTGATAATTTTTTTAATCGCTTTCTTCACTTGGGTCCAGATTATTATTATATTTACTACTAGATTTTACTGTTTTTATCACTATGGTGAGTGGGATTTTTTAATTTTTCTGCTTTTAACTGATTTTTGCTATTGACTATTGTATATTTATTTTGTACCCAACTATTTTACTGAGTTATTTTATTAGTTTTAATTTTTTCATTGACTCTTGGATATTCTAGCTAGAAAATCATTTTGTCTGTTCTAATTTTCATACTACAAATTTCAGTGGTTTTTTTTTTTTTTACATTGGCTAAAACCTTAAAACAGTGTTGAATGATAGAAACGGTAGGGAGCCTCCTTGGGTTGATCCTGGTTATAATAGTTTTGAGTGGTTTTACTAATTCCGCACTCAAATGTGCCATTTGCTATTGGTCCATGTACTGGGAGCTCATTAGAAACGCAGAATTGAGACCCCACGTATTGAATCAGAACCTGCATTTTAACAAGATTTCCTAGGTGTTCCATCTACAGAGTTTAAGGAAGTCTATATGATGTCTTTCTAGTCTGACTTTACTTAAGAGTTTGGTAAGAATGTCTGTGGCTGTTGGAGTCTCCCAAAACCTTTTGGCTTCTACTGATGCCTAAAAAATTATTTCCTCCCTTTTCGTGGCTATCATGCGTTTTAGTTTTTGACATCCTAATTCTGGGCCAGCCCTGCATCCTAGAACAGGAGGCCTCCCGTCCACCTGCAAGCAGCTCATCCCTTACTCCCTCATCCGTGTCTCTGCAGCTCCCCAGAGCAGCCCGAGGGCTGAGCTGGGATGTTCTTCCTCAGCTCTGGGAGCCGGTGCCAAGGCTTAGAGCAGCACACAGTGGGTGCTCAGAAGGTGCCTGATTTAACTTGAGCTGTCACTCTTTTATGGCTCAGCCAAGGCCCTCTTCTCCTCTCTCTTTAATCTTGGTGAGTCACAGGCCCCTTTGAGAACCTGGTGAAAGCTCTGGGCCCCTCTCCAGGGTTCCCCTCTCTGCTGGTTGGGAGGTTCCTGGCGGCCCTGAAGCTCACGGTAAGACCCTCCCTCCCTGCTCTCCCACCCCCTTTGGCTGTGGAAGACCCTACAGGAACCCCCAGCATCAGCGCCTGGCAGCTGCGTTCCCGCGTGCTCCCCACAGCCGGGCACTGCTATGAACACCCACGGGGGTCCTCTCACTGAGACCCCATGCCTCCAGGGGGCAGGTTGTGCCCCATTTTAGAGATGAGGAAAACCCAGCTTCCTTGAGAAACTCTGAAGGCAAGGACTCCTTGGGGCCGAGTTGCTGTCGGTTGCAGTGCCGCCTGCTGGAAGCTCCCTTCCTCTGCAGATGGTTTTGAACCTTGTTAAAACGGAGGGCCGTTCTCAGGCCCACGGCGGCCCCGACTGGGGCGCCAGGCGTCTGACCGAGGGCTCCGGAGGCCATCCAGCAGCCTCTGGAATGACCCGCGTGACTGCTCCCCATCCTCGGGGTGGCCCTCTCTACATGGGGACCCAACTGAGCCTCCATCTTTGGGCAGTAAAGCTAGGGGCAGGGAGGAAGCGGAAAAGGCAGATGGCAGCGGGCAGAGCTGGAAGACCGGAGGAAAGACGCAGACGCGAAGCCGGGATGCAGCGAAGGGGGAGACGCTGCTGGTAACGCAGGCCCGGGGAGCGGCCCGGGGAGAGGCGGCTTCGCATCGCGTCTCGGAGGGGCTGCCAGAGCTGCGTGCGCGTGGGCATCTCAGGGGCAGGCGAGGGAGCTGGGACGTCGCCCTGTGAAGCTCTGCCCAGGGTTTGTTGACCAGACGTAGTGGCCTCGGCTTCTGGACGTGGGGCCAGCGTGAGAGAGCTGGTCCTGGGATGGAGCAGGGGTGCAAGGCAACCAGCCCGGCGCTACCGAGGATGCGGGAGGCCCCGCCAGCAGCACCGCAGGGAAAGGAGACGGGCAGCTCTGCCCTGCAATCACTGCGCTAGGCTGGGGAGTGGGGGGACGCCGGCGTTTGCAGTGTCCCTCCTGACTGCTCTGAGGACAGAGAGGGCACTGCTCCCGCTGATGGCCTCCCAGGGGTGAGGTGAAGGCAAGGGCCACCCACGGGGCAGGCCAGCACAGGCCCGGGAAGGCCTCAGGAGGAGGCACCACAGAAATGGGGCTCCAGGGGGCCCCTAGCCCACAGCTAGGCCTGGGCTGTGGGGCCACCTCAGATCAGGACATTGCCCGAGGCCACCCGCAGGGGCTGACGCCCAGCCACAGGTGTGCTGAGGGCTGCAAATCCCCCCTCTTCTGCCCCTGGGTCCTCTCCTTAGGCAACAGATGGCCACCAGCAGGGATCCAAGTCCACAGAAAGAGTCTGGCCAGGTCGGGCGTCCCGGGCAGGGTGTCCTGGCGTCCCGAAGGAGCCCCAGCCCTCAAGGGAGGTAGAGAGCCACGACCACGTAGACGACCCAGCTGGTGGACACAAAGACCCCGAAGAGGAGGCTGAAGAGGACGAGCGAGCGGGCCTTCCGAGAAGCTGCCTCAGCCTGGGCCAGGTCTCCCCTGCTCAGGGCCGCGCGGGTCTGCAACGAGACGGGGTCAGGGCTGAGGGGCAGCGGGCACGGAGCGCCCAGCAGGGCAGGCCCCCGTGCAGACTGGAAGACTGACCCCCTGAGAAGCCTGGGGACCAGCCTCAGCCACAGCTCAGAAAGAGCGGGAGCAGTGGAAGTGACGGCGCCAGCTCCTGGGCACCTGCCATGAGCCTGGCACCATCGCCACCTTCAGACTCATCTCCCACAATCCTCACAACACTCCCGAGGTTGGTGTTATTGTTGTCCCCGCTTTGCCGATGAGAAAACAAAGGCTCGGAGAGGTGAAGGCTCAGAGAGGTTAAGCGATCCACTCAGGGTCACACAGCTGGTGGCAGAGCCAGAAATCAGGCAGGCAGCGGCCTCCAGAGTCCCACCTCTGAGCTGTCCTGAGAGCTGCCTTCTCCCCACAGTCCTGGCTAGCTTGTGACTAGGGAGCTTGACTAGTGGGGGGAAGTCAGGACTATGGCCAGGTCAGCCTCAGGAAGACACCCCCAGTGGCTTGCCTGCTCTGTCCATGAGCACGTTCTCACATTAGCATCACTGAGTCCCCAGAGCCTAGCCCTGTGCAAGGAAATGGCCAGGAGAGAAGGGAGGAGCTCAAGATGGTAGGTGGACGGATGGACGGATGGACGGACGGACGGATGGATGGATGGTGGATGGACGGATGGACGGATGGATGGTGGATGGATGGATGGACGG